TTAGTTGAATTAATTCATTCATTAGATCAACAGATTTCTATGAAGTACCTCCTATGTGCCAGGCCCTGCTGCTGTCGTTCTTGCAGTTTTGGTGACAAGACGATACTGAATGACTAACTATGCATGTGAATACTATAATGAGAGTGAGGAGACTAGGGTGCCTGGGGGAAAACACGGTACTGTGCAAGGTATGTTCAGGGGCATGGCAATAACATTCATTCATTTACTCAATCAAGAGTCATTAAGAATTTCTGAAGACAAGACTCTGAGGTCAAACTTACCATGGCACCTGCATGCAGTCCTCAATGAGTTTTACAAATATTCTCTTGGTTTCCTGACTAGGTCTAATGCTACCTATAAAGGCAGGAGTCTTTATGAGGAAGGATAATTCTCCTAATAATGTTTTACTAATAATAATAGTAATAATAATAGCTAACATTTATTGAATACTTTCTATATGCAGGACACAGAGCTAAAATCTTTACATGTATATTCCATAACCCTCAGAATTAACCCTAACGTGGGTAAAGTTAATACCCTCATTTCATAGATGAAGATCTGGAGGCTCAGAGACATCAGAAACTGGTCTGCTATCACACGTTTAAAAGTGGTGGATTTAAGACGGCATGGAGCTCCACTACGAGTCATTGCTGTTTACCAGGAGTTGAGCTTTTAAAAATGAAGGCCAAGGACAGGGAACGAATCTGCATACTTAGCCAAACACGTTAAGAGTGTGAGAAAATTCACTCCTAGTGTTCACAGTGTTTCAGAGCTTAAGTATAGGCATATCTTGTTTTATTATGCTTTACAGATGTGTATTTTACAAATTGAAGGAACTAACTCTCCACCAGTGAAAAGATTACAAATCACTGAATGCCAGTACTCACTTTATTGCGGTGGTTTGGGACCGAACCCTCAACAGCAACAAGGTCCGCCTGTGAACAATCTTCCAGAGAAGCCAGTCCAAGCACGCAATTTTTTTTGCAATCAGCACACATGCTTGTTAAAGGAATGACACTGTTCATTGCAGAGAATGCTTCTACTTTACACCATCTCTACTCCTGGTTTCTTTCCAAGGACCACTTTAGAGCAAACCACCTTTTCCGCAAGCAACAAGGGTCTACTTAACTGTAAGAGGACAAGAGAAAGTGGCTCCCAGCTGGTCTCAGGTAGACACTACTATTCAGTGTCATGAAGATTTTGAAGAAACCTAGAGCTTTGGAGTTTCACCAGTTTGCTGTCAATGCACAAATTTGCCCCATCATCAACTTTCCTAAGTGTCCTATGTAAATGCAGAGGGAACTAGCCTTCTTGGGGGCCTCAGGGGCACCAGGAGGATCTGCTGATGCTCTTCTTCCTTCTCCTTCTTCCTCCCCTTTGTCACCCTCACCATCATTGCCATTCATTAAGCACTTACCACGTGTGCAGTCTCTAAGGTTTTCTGTATATTTAAGCCTCACAACAATCTTACGAGTAGCTACCATTAACTCATTTTTCAGGCGATGAGGGGTCTGTGAGGCTCTGTAACTGTCTCCAGGTCATACAATGAAGATAAAATTATGGATAAAATACCAGAGAATGTGTTCTTAACTGGGAAGCTATACTCTTGTCTTAAAGGATTTACAATGGGGCATAGGATCAAGGAAGAATGGGCCAGATGTGTGGATCTAACATAAGCCTGTATTTACATAAAATCAGAGTGTTGAGATTTAAAAGTTCTTAATCTGAAGTCCATAGACCCCTGAATGTCTAAAAATAGACTTTGGAGGATTTGTAACCCCCAAAACAGGAGTCAACAAATTGTTTATTAAAGCATCATACAGTTACCTATTTTAGGATTTGCAGGCTATATGGTCTCTGACAAACACTTACCTCTACTGTTGTAAAAAAGAAACCATACACAATACACAAATGAATGGGCAAGGCTGTGATCCAATGAAACCTATTCACAAGAACAAGTTCTAGAATGGTTTACAAATTCTATGTGCATGTGTGCAGTTACTTTTACTGTTGTTTTTAGGAGAATATCCATAGTTGTCCATAGCTTCTCAAATGGGTTCAAAACACAAGATGGCTTAAGAAATGGCGAAAATGGTCTCCACGCCCTCTAAACTTTGATTTCCAGGATTCCATGATTCTACATGCCTTTTAAATTAACCCTCTCTAGACAGTCTTTCTCTTTAGTAGGTTCATTTGATGGGTTCTTCTATGAACTCTTAGTGAGCTATAATTACAGTCTGTTGAGAAGGAAATATAGGACACATTACCATTCCAACCCTCTTTGGCTTATCTGGCCAGGTGATAATGGGTGAGACACAAATGCACTTCAGATTGGAATACAGCAGTTCAGTCCTGCACAGGCTGGTCTGAGGTTCGCTGAAGCTTTTTCTTCTTCCCAGAGACCACTTTCTGTGTCCCACTGAGCCTTCTCCAAAGAGTGGACTCATTGTCCTGATAATACAGTTTGGATTCCTGGAGTCAGCCAGGCCTGCTCAGGCATGGTGTAGAGGGATGTTTGCCTGGTGCATCTCTGCAGCTGTTCAGGCACGCTCTCCTAACTAAACCTTGTCTTTCTCTTAGGATTCCCCAGCTTCATGAGTTAGAGCACCTTATTTACTGTCTGCCATGACACCAACATGCACCTTGACCCTGCCTTCCCCACCATGTGACTTGTCTTCCCCTAACTAGAATCCTTGGGAGGAGATTGTTGATCATATTCCATTGTGCCTGCCACCATAGATCCTGATTCCATGTTTTGCATGTACTTTTAGGTTATTAGTATTGAGATCCCTGAAAGCTACAGACAGTTTTCAACTCTTGCATCACTTCTGAAAAATCTAAATAATGATTATCTAGTCCACTTGAATAAAAAGCAGAATCAACTGCTTTAAATTTTAGAAAAAATTTAAAATAAGACAAATATGAATCACAATGTGATTGCACTTATATTCCAGGTTTCTAAGAATGGAGAATTGAGCAGAGAGGGAGAAGCAGGAGGGAAAATAAAAGGGAAGAAAGAAATGACAGAGGAGAGAAGAATGGAACAAAGGGAATGAAGAAACAAAGAAATACAAAGGAAATGACCAATGTAGTCTGTAGCCAACCAACTACTGTTAGGTTCATGTCCAGCATCTTTATGATGCAGCTATTTCTCACAGCAAGAGCCCCCCCCCCCGAAGGAAATAAACCAGCAAATGAAAATAACAGGAATATAAATCATGTTGCTGGTATTAGGGAAACTTTATGCTATACCAGACCCTTGTATATATCACATCAGGATTAGTGCTAGCTCTCTGAAATGAACCATCAATAAGAGGACCACACAGTGCTCACTGTACCTCCAACCAATGTTTCAGTTCAGCCTTAATTACCATGTTCATTTGGCAGCAGTATAGCACCACGTGAACAGAACTGGGATGCATGGATCTTGTCTCGGCATCTCATTATGTGACCTTGGTTGACCAATATCTGTGCCTCTGTTTCCTCATTTGTCAAATGTGAATAAGAAATCTTTGCTCTGTTTATTTCACAAGAATGTTAGGAGGATGGAAAGTGGATACTCACACATATATGAGTATATTTTATACTCATCCAAATATAAGTATATATAAATATATTTATATTTGTATATATTGGTCTATATAAAAATATATATTTATATAAATATATATAATTCACATATATTGGCCTATATATAAACATATATATATACACAAAAACATATATAGGCCAACATATAAAAATTAAATATATTTATAAGTATATATTTATACAAATATATATATATAGAAATTGGCCAATATATATACAAATATAAATATACTTACATATATTTATATTTAGATGAGTATAAAATACCAGGTTAATGTAAAATATACTTTTTTTTTTTTTACTTAACAAGGTAATGGGTAGGCAGGGGTGGGGATGATGCCATTTTGCACAGAAGGCTTGGTGACTCAGTGAAGTGTCTTTTCCCCCCCAACTGGCCTACAATTATTACTGCTTTCTTGATGTTTTTAGACATACTTCCCCCCTTCAGGAATGCCAAAGGTGAAAAATACTACTCTGCTGATATAATTTGTCACCCTTGCTGCCGGAGCTAGAAGTGCATAGACAGTTCAGTAATTAAGCTTTTCAACACTGCATCATAAAGTTTTATTCTGGCAAAGGCTATATTTATCAGCTAACAAGTATTAAATCACCCCACTGCTCCAGCCGTTTCTCACTTGAATATGCTCCTTTCAAAACAGAGCAGCTTTCCTTGGCTGGCTTGATTAACGACGCTGTTGTTTGGAAATATCACGGCGCAGTGTGAACCTGTGGGGCTGACATACACACACCTTGGCAACTGTTCCAAATGGTGCTGACCCTGGTTTCCCAGGGGAGCTTGATACCTTAGCCCTGGGTCTTTTAGGGCATCCTGGCCATCTGAGTTTTCACAGCCTTCTGGGATGCCTTCCAGCACAAGATAACCCCATATCCATTTCATTTCTACAGGGAAGGGGGTAAATGAAAATGAAGAACATAAGCATTTCATACATTTTTACTTCCTTATCTTAGCATCAGGGAATTGGTCTCTTCCTCTCATAGACAGATCTAAATGTAAAATGAGTTTTCAGAATGATTAAAATAGCAAAGTAACTGATCTACATATAAGGCAGGGTTGAGTTTTCTTTTCATATTGCATATAGTCTTCTCACAATAGGTACAAAATTATTAGGGAGACACAGAGTGGAGAGATATTGAAAGTCACCACTAATGGCTTAGAAGACTTTTGTCTTTATGCATCCCACCCCACCTTTACAAATTTTTTTCCTTTCCTTTGGAGGCTATACATTCATGAGAGAAATATAACATTGTTCTTAAAACTTTAGGATATTTTCAGTCAAATGATTCCAGAATTATATTAAACAACAAAAGTTAATACATTTGAATGATTTTTCTACCTTTTAAAGGATAAAGCCAAAATAAAGAAAATGTTAATCAAATATGGGCCAAAATGATGAAAGAAGTCTCAGTATTTTTTTAATGATATCATAGCAGAAATTACATTAATTTCCCTTTTCTTTCTCTGTGTTCAAAAATAAATGACATTATACATAGGCATTTCTGTTTTTCATCAACCAGTTGCTAAAAGGACACATAATACTCCCCAGAATCACGAAACCCACTTTGTAGCTGTATAAGTAAGTTCTTCCAAAGCCCGTGTGTATGTATGATCAGTGGGCATGTCGGTGTGAAGCTTAAGGTTGCTACGAAGATAAGAAGTCTTTTGTTAGACTTTTCTTAGTTTGAGAGGCTACAACGATTCCTTTACTTTCCAAATGATAAAATAGAACTTACCATTTTGCTCTTCCAATTAGCAACAGGTAGCTTGTTTGGAAGGCTGAGAACCAATTTCTCTCCAGCCAGCAAGTCACCGGGTTTTCACTGAACCATGTGGGTCGCTGAACCAATATGTTGGCAAATATTGAACTACTTTAAGTACATCTAATTTCTGGTTCAACACATTTTTTGGTTGCATTAAATTCACTAAACCTGACGCAGTCTTAATGCCACATCACATGCTGGAATGCACATAAATGTAACAGCAGTAGCCATGAGAGATAACATAAGGTAGAGAGCAACATATTTTCTCTCAGTTTCCATTTAATTTTCATTTGTCATAATAAGCCTTATTTTCAAAGTTAAAAAGCACTGTGTGACTTGGAAAATCCTGTTGAATCTGGTTCTTTTCTGACAATTTAAAGAGAGGTTACTTCATCAGTCAAGTTGCTCTCTCAGAGATGAGGACACAGCTGACCTACAATTCAGGATTATTTAATGACTTGGGAGAAAAATAAGAAACCAAAATTATTCACAGTTTGGAGGAATGTTGTAGTTCAGCAGGCTGCAAAAATACTGAATCAAGGGTACACTTGAAGATTAAAAACCAGGCTTTGATAATGGTTATTCTTTATTTGAAAGCAAAATTTTCAAAAGAATAATAAAGGTTTGGGAACATGAGTTGTTACTGTGATTTCACCTAATTTTTTTGGAGGGTCATTTGTTATTCTTAAGCACTAATTTTGGTCCATCAAGAAGTAGTCATGGCAACTCAGAAAAGTGGCAAAAGGTAGAAAGTCCAAAAAATTTTTATTGTAGTGTGGGTTGTAACTATCAAAATTTTAAAATTGATTTTATACTCCATAAAAAAATGACAAACATGAACAATTTTTTGGTAATTTCTCTCATCAAAATAGAAAACAAAACAACCAATAACAGAGAAGTGTGAAATCCAAAACCCAAAGTACATGTAGAAGATAAGAACACAGATACTAAATAGACTTATTTGCGTGATCACTTTTTAAGTTATATAAATGTGTAATCACTATGTTGTATTCCTGAAAGTCATAATATCGTATGTAAGCTGAAATAAAAAATTAAAAGAAACACAAAGAATACAAATTAAAAGAATACAAATACTAAATATGATTCTTTAAAGCTTCCAGAACACATAAGGCAGAAGCGATGCAGCCATCAAAGTTGGACTGAGTAAATCCGTCCCCTCCGCACACGAGGAAAGGTTTGAGATGAAGAGTCATTTGGCCAGGATATTTGGCAGCAGCATTTGTAACCTGAAAAATATTTTTAAAAAATGGGGGGAGTGTTGCAATTAACATTCTGTGCTCCACTGTGTTATCATGTCAACACCCACCTGGGCAAGGCTTCCTGACCTGGAGAGATCAAGGTGTCTTACCAGAAGCAACAAAAAACAAAACCAAGACACCTGTGCTTCCCCCTCATCCAAGTGTTTACACTAATCATTCTTACATGTTTACATTTTCAATTGTTTGATAAGATAATCAGAAGAGCACTGAACTTCAAAATTAGTAGCTCATGATTTGCTCGATTAGTTGAAAATATACTGATTTTTTTTTATAAGAAGGAAATGACATTCATAGTATCATTCACCGAATATCAAGTCCAGGCCACATGACAGACAAGGTGGGTAGAAAAGAGCTTTGAGGGTCGTTTCATTAAGGAGTTTTCAGTTCAGCATGACTGCTGGCACTTTACAGGGACCACAGGCTAAGACAGAGAGAAGAAAGGGCACTATGGGAGCACACATGAGTGGGCCCCACACAGCACATCGGGACAACAGAGGAAGCTTCAAAAGGGCGTGACCAGTCATTTCTGAGTTCTCATGAGTGTGTAAGAGTTTGCCAAGGAAGCAGAGACAGGGCTTTCCATAGAGAAGGAGCAGCATGAGTAAGTGCCCAGAATCTATGGACAAGAGAGAAGACAGTTTACGGCACTGCAGGCCACCTGCTGTGTGTGTGTGTGTGTGTGCATGTGTGCATGCATGTGTGTGTGTGTTAAGTGAGGACATGGCCAAAAGGCGAAATAAGAAAGATACAGGGTTTCAAAATTTAAAAATACAAAACATAAATATAAAAGCCTATTAGAGTGTAGAATTTACTACTTAGCCAAAATCAGGAGAATCAGCCGAAGTCTGAAATTTATTTTATTTTGTAGAACCAGGTTTATAATATCTGAAGTGATGAAATAGGTATAGAAAGATTATTTCCTGGAAAAAATATATCCTCAAAATTCGGGTGAATGTTGCTAAGAAGCATCCACAGCCAGGAGAATGAGCAGGAGGTGGATGCCATTACCTTGGACACTGAGATGGTTTGGCTGTGAAACACTAAAAGAACCCCAAAATACAAAGCACACAAATTTATTATGAAGGCAGTCTCACTTGGGACTTCTCTACACAACTTCAGGGGGCATCATTCATGTAGACAGCAAGTAGCAGTTCTGACCTCTCTTGTACAAAGTTTCCATAAAGAATCTGCTAGTTTAAAAATCACACAAAAAAGTCAGGAAATGTAATAAATGCTATCTGAATTGTGGAGCTGAGATTTTGGTTTGAGACAGGCTGTTACAATTTTTTGAACCAGGAAAACTTTGCCTAGGTATGTTTTTATTTATATGCCATATTTTACTTTAAAAATAAGGTGGTACAACTATTCCTTTGTTGGGTCTCTAAAGCTATGGACCTTTAAAGACACATGTCATTCAGCTACAAGTGTAAAATTTTGAGTATGTCACTTCTCTGGAGGTTGCTTGACAACATCATCTATCAGAGACATTGCAGATAATCTTTTTTTAAATTATGGCATACTTTTAATCTACATTGAATTGTCCAGACCATGGACAATTCAACATAGCTACAGCTTTGTTTTTTTTCCAGCTTTACTGAGGCATAATTAATTGACAAATAAAAATTGTATACATTTAAGGTGTACAACTTGATGTTTTGATATGTGTAGACATTGTGAAATAATCACCATAATCAAGGTAATTAGCACATCCATCAGCTCATGTAGTTACTTTTTTTTGGTGGCACACATTATGATCTACCTTCTTATCAGATTTCAAGTATACTATACAGTATTGTTAATTAGTTACCTTGTTGCACATTGGATCTGAGGACTGAGTCATCTTGTATAACTGAAACGGTACCCTTGACCAACATGTCCCAATTTTCCCCTCCCACCAGCTCCTAGCAATCACCATTCTATGCTCTGCTTCTACGAGCTTGACTATTTTAGACTCCACATATAAGTGAGGTCATGCTGTATTGGGCACTTGTCATTTCCTAGCCAATAACCTTGAAATCAGCAGTAAAGATCTGAGTGACTAAAATAGACAGCACATAGTATAGGCACTGAAGGACAGTCTTGGGCATTCAGTCAGACCTTTAATACTCCTGCTTTAGATGGAATTTTAACCAATCAGGTTATCTGATTTGTTAGTGAAATGCTAAGGGAGGAAGAAGACTGTTTGGTTCCTATATAAATTAGCAATTTCAGAATGTGACAACTGATAGTGGAGGGCCAATTAGAGAAGGGACAAATAACTTTCTGGGTCTCAATAGGCCCCAAGAGTGTCAGTTCATTAGTTTTCCCATAATCATTAATGCCCATGATGATGGTCCCAATACCCAAGAATCAATTCTAATGTGCATCAAGTATTCATTGTTAGCATTACTTGAATGTCCACTAATACCACATGCTTTACATGCATACTCCCTTTAATTCACACAGCAACCCTATGAGGTGGTTTCTCATTTTATAGTGAGAAAGCTGAGACTCAGAAAGATTGTTGTTTGTCCAAGGATGAAAAACTAAAAGGCAAAGAAACAGGAATTCAAGCAGAGCAGGCTGACTCTGGAACTCACCCTCCCAATACTTTCAGAAATATTTCCATAAAGAACTGGATTGAAATGTCCACACTACCCAAAGCCATCTATAGACTCAGTGCGTTTCCTCTCACAACACCAATGGTATATTTCACAGAAATAGAACAAATAATCTGAAAATTTATATGGAACCACAAAAGACCCCTAGTCGCCATAGCAATCTTGAGAAAAAAGAACAAAGTTGGAGGATTACACTAACATATCAAGCTACCACAAGGCTATGGTAATCAAAACAGTATGGTACTGACATAAAAGCAATCATGTAGATCAACGGAACAGAAGAGAGAGCCCAGAAATAAACCCACACCTTTATGATCAATTAGTACTTGACAAAGGAAGCAAGAATATACAATGGGGTAAAGACAGTCTATTTGATAAATGGTGTTGGAAAAATTGGGCAGATACATGCAAAACAATGAAGCTAGACTACCTCCTTACACTATATACAAGAATAAACTTGAAATGGATTAAAGACTTAAATGTAAGACTTACAATAATAAAGATCGTAGAAAAAAATATAGGCGGTAAAATCTTAGACATTTCCCATAACAATATTTTTTCTGATGTATCTCCTTAGACAAGGGAAGCAAAAGAAATAAATAAATGAGACTACATGAAAGTAAAAAGTTTTTTCACAGCAAAAGAAGCCATCAACAAAATGAAAAGAGAACTCACTGAATGGGAGAACATATTCGCCAATAATACATCTGATAAGGGGTTAATATCCAAAATTTATAGAGAACTCATACAACTCATCACCAAAATAACAAGCGATCCAATTAAAAATGGTCAAGGACCTAAGTGGACACTTCTCCAAAGAGGACATATAGATGGCCCATAGACATGGAAAGATGCTTACCATCATCAACCATCAGAGAAATGCAAATTAAAACCACAATGGGATATCACCTCCTACTTGGTAGAATGGCCATCATAAGCAAATCAACAAACAAGAGATGGCAAAGATGTGGAGAAAAGGGAACTCTTATGTACTGTTGATGAGAAAGCAGATTTGGTATAGCCACTAAAGAAAACAGTATGGAGGTTCCTCAAAGAATAAAAAATAAAACTGCCGTATGGCCCAGCAATTCCACTTCTGGAAATATATATGAAGAAACCCAAAACACTAATTTGAAAGAATATGTGCACTCCTGTGTTCATTAAGGCATTATTTACAATAAACACATTTTGGAAACAACCCAAGTGCCCATCAATAGATGAATGGATAAAAAAGCTGTGGTACATATACAATGGAATATTACTTGACTATAAAAAGAATGAATTTTGCCCTTTGCAACAGCATGGATGGACCTAAATGGAACAGAAGAGATGGACCTATGCATCCCATCCAACTGGCTGTTCCTGAGTTATATCTTTTTATAATTGGTGATATAAGTCAGTGAAATAAGGCAGTTAGAGAAAGGCAAATACCATATGATTTCAGTTATGTGTAGAATCTAAAGAACAAAATACATAAACAAACAAATGCGAAACAGACTCATAGACACAGAGAGCAGACTGATAGCTGTTAGTGAGAAGGAGGGTTGGGGGCTGGGTGTAAGAGGCGAAGACGGAGAAGTACAGATTGGGTATTACAAAACAGTCATGGTGATGTAAAATACAGCATAGAAAATATAGTCAGTATTGTAATAGCTGTGTGTGGTGCCAGGTGGGCACTGGAAATACTGGGGAGAACACTCTGTAGAGTACAGAGTCGTCTAACCACTACGCTGTTTACTTAAAACTAATGCAAAATAACATGGGATGTAAACTGTAATTGAAAAAAATTTTTAAAGACTTGATTTAAGTAAAACAAAACAGAAACGTTACATAGCATGATAGTATAATTTATAAGAAATGTGTGTTTGGTCATTCTGATGACCAAAATATATTTTTCATATATATCTGGTCTTTGCCCACAATTTCTGACTCACAGCTCCTGAAACACTTGAACTTTCTTAAGTTTGAGAGTGATAAAGTTGCCTCTTGTTATGTTAATGATGTAACTTTTGTAAAGTCAAAAAATTAAGAATGGGGGCTGGTTTCTAGTGGAGCCTGTAGGAGGCCGCTCTGTGTGGTGTGGGCCCAGCTCCCACTGCGAGATGCACAGGACCCACACCCACGGATAGGTTCTCCCGTGGGGAATCAGGCCTGCAATGTGCCTAGGCCACTATGAGTCTTGCTTTTTGCTAAAACTCCCTTAACCTGAACTGAAGACATTTACTGCAAAGTAACTTCCTAAAATCCATGCTAAACCTTCCAAGGATGAGTGTAACCAGTTCAACCACTTTTGCCTTTTCATTTGCAAATACCCCTCTTCTGTGATGTGATTAGCGGCACTGGTTCCTTTGTTTTCTGTAAAAGGTA